AGCAACCAAACGCCAACCATTTTTTCCATGTAAACACAAACTGATTCTTGGTAGAGGAAAGGAAGCATGATTAAATGTTGGGGCTGAGGTCATAGATCCTCATGTAAAGTGTTTACCACCAGTGCTTTATTAAGGAGTTTCCCTCTCCCTTCCCTTTCTCATGCCTCAAGCCATTTGTTTCTGTTCCTATGACTCAAAGCACCATCCTGCTTTAGTAGAAACAAAACTATTCATAGGACTAGGCTAGGAATGATCACAAGCTCTTTATAATACTTGGCCGATATATTTCCCTCCAGGCCCACAGCAGGGACCCTTACACAGTCTGTAAGAACAGCTGCGGGAGGGCAATGGGCCACCAGCATGGATGAGGAAGGGAGAGGCAGAGAGGGACTTGTGAAACAGGTACAGCACATCACTGGGTTTGCACAAAGCATTATATTAGTGGCCCATCAAACTTATTTCAACTTACAGATGAGCCGAGAGAACCGTTTTACTGCTATTGAACACAACAGAGAGGACTGCAAAAAGAAAAGGCTTCATTATTGTGGAGAACTGCTGAAAGCACAAGAACTGGGTGAGTGGCAGCAAGCAGCAAATTGGACCCATACTTCCAGTGTCCTGCAGTAATAAGCAAATAAATACATACATTGCTGAGAATTTGGACTGTCTATACATTTTCAAAGCATTTATTTTGCTTGCTTTGAGCTCTTACTGGAATAGAGCATGCACTTATAAAAGGATCATGGCAAGACAAAGAAATCAAAACTCTCAAACAGTAGCCAAGAAGAAAGGTCATAAATTAAGAATTTATTATTAAGATCAGAGTGACTAAGTAAGCAAAATTAAGGTTGTTTTGCAACAGAAACTTAATAACCCTAATAGGGTTAGAAGTAAATATTGACCACGCAAGGAGGCTGTGCAGAAAAATCAGGCCTTCATCAAGGATGAAAAATTGATCTAACCTAAAAATAGAATGAAATAAAAAGGGGGAAATTTAGACTTCAAAGCTGGGGGGGGGGGTAACTTTGGGCTGATTTTTTTTTCATCCTGCAAAATGATATCCAAGGGAAATGGCAAAATTCACTTGAGACACAAAAAAAATACACATACGTATAAAAAATCAAATTAGACTGGCAAATGCATTAAAAAGGGTAACTGCAGAAAACTACCCCCCAGTGGCTGGGAAGTGCTCCAGGTGACCTTTTGTAATAAGACTTCTCCATTACTGTTTTGTTTCTCTCTTTCTGAGCCTGTATATATAAGCCCATGTACATTCTGCTTTGGCCCTTAAATGAGATTGCGTGATATATATCAACTATTGCAGAATAGGGATTGCTAATGGGGGCTGATCTTTAATGTCCTTTTGTCATTATACATGGAAGAAAAAGAAACCAAATTAATTGCTTCATTTCATTTTTATTCAGTATACTCTGATACATTTTCATGTTTTGAATTCCAATTTCTCCCAGTTCATTTTGTATCCAGTGTTGGAAAAGCCATTTCTTGTATTTCTTAATATCCTCAAAGGATCTAAGAAAATTACAGAACTTAACAGCTTTACTTCAAAAATCCTTGTAAGAGCTCCAATGACCACCATAAGCTGCATAGGCACACTGGACAAATTGTCTGAGAGTTTAGAGAATTTACTTATATTAACATCTGGAATATAAAGTAGGTAAAATCTATCAGAGAGTTTGAAATGTTACATTCATCAGTAAATCCATTATACTATATAAAACCACATTGACCTCTTCCCAGTTATGACAAAAGTTTCCATTACCAGAGACTTAAAGAACCTCTGTTTTTTTCCAAGCCTTTTAATATTTAAATGGACTCTGGAGTTTGGAAAGATTCAGGATTAAACTGTGCACTCAGCAATCTGAGTGAATCTCATACTGAAGTCAGTTGCATCTGTTAGATGAATATGAAAAGTTGTCTTTTTTTGCCTGGTGTCCTTAACCACATACTTGGAGGAAGTAAGTTAGCTGAGTTGCCACTGATAGGAAATGGCAGGTAGGAAGCTGGTGAGGACTTGACACATCCATTGTATCTTGTTGCTGTCCTCTCTGAGTCCCCACAAGGGTAAGTTCTGTGTTGAGAATAACCCCAAAAGCCCAACTTGATCTGGAGCTGATGTAGGCACACAGTTGTGTACCCGCCAAATGGGCTAGAACGTAAGGCCAAATTTTAGGCTGCTGGTAGGTATTCATGCCAGCTTTCTGACAGCTGAGGGAGAGGATGCACAGTACCTGCTCTGGCATCAGACCTGTACACACTGTGCTTAGCTATCACAAACTTTTGAAACAGCAATGTGTTCTTGCTGGTTCAAAGGTCTTTAATGGCCTTTTCAGCCTGGAATTAAATGGCCTGAAACTGGTTTTATCGTACCATCAAACCACAGCCTGCACTCTGGCAGGAGTCATCTTTGCCTTCATGCCCTCAGGCACGGGAAAGAACTGAGGGAAAGGGCAGCTGACATCCCTGGAGAGGGGCTCACTGCCCCAGCCATGACAGCAGTATAGCAGTACTAGTGAATGCCACGGGCATGGGAAAAATGTGCAGGATGAAAGAGATGCATTCCTCAAGGCAACAAGGCCAATATAAGCACTCTGAATGACTTGGCCACCTGTGATCCCTGCGGTAGCATGCCTTCCCTCTTCTGCCTTTGATCCCACCACCGAAACACTGCCCTCACTGTCCAACTATCCAACTCAGCGCCTGGGATCAGAAAGTCTTTGAACCTCAGATTACTGGAAGCCAAAAGAGTACTCTCAAGAAGCACTGCTTCAGCATGTTACTCTTTACCCTACTATTGGCTATGGTTAGTGAGCAGACACCCATGTGGAGGGAGCTGCAGTCTCACTCGCTCCAGCTGTTTCTATGTTCTGCAGTCCAGGTTTCAGCAAGGCCAGTACACTCAGCCTGTCCCACCTCTGAGCAAAGCTGTAGTATTTGCTCTCCCTCCTATTGCAACCACTGCTTGTTCAGAACCCCCCCTGAATTATAGACTTTTATCATGAGGTTCCAACTCTCCTTAGTGACCCCCAAATGACAAGAGTCATGCAAGGGGACCTCTTTAAATTTGGGAGAATTTGTGTCTGTATATGTATTACAAATAGCCTGCAGGTTGCCCCATGCAAAATAGTTACTTTGCAGAAACTGTCCTTTAACTTGCATCTCTGCAATTTCTTTTGGCATGTGACTTTTTTGCCTATCATAAAGACAGCACACATTATAGTACTCCTGGCACAGCAGTCACTGGTCACCCTGAGAGGCAGCAGGGACCAGAAGCTGTGCTGTACAGAACAGCAGCCTCAGCATCAACTAAAAACCAAAATCTAATACAAGCCTTTGTGATCCATAAACCAGCAGGGGCTTAAGTGCACTGAAGTGTACCAAAAAGCTCACTGAAAGGGACACCTAATCAATGCTTTATTTAAGATCTTTGTCCAGAGAAAGTTTGCTACGCGTGACACTCCATTTCTTCACAAATGACCAAAGGAGCAGAGAACCTCAGGGATGTTTTACAGACCTGCTGCTGAGCAGCCACATCATGCACAGGAATATGTCATGACAGCCCTCAGTGGTGACGTACATTGGATTTTTCCTGGTGTCCAGTATTTCCCCATGCCAGCAGGACTGCAATGGTTTATGGGAACTGTTTCAACAGCTTGATATTCCTCCAAGCCTGTCCCTGATCCTGAGAAACACTGTTAACAAATGGGTCATGGACCAGAACTCTGGACAAGCAATTAGGTCGTCAGGACAAACCACTTTTGGCCACTTTGCACCTCGGGGAGCAGCTGGGTCCAGCTGCTCCATCAGAAGAGGAGCCGCAGGACAGCTGTCCCTGTGCTGGCCTCAACCCCTGCATCCAAACCAAAGGGCTTGACAACTGGTGTGGCTTGTGCATTGTTCCACATTTTTAAAGTGACTATACCACCACACATAAGCGTTTCTATGTGCTGATTTTGTTTCCTACGGCTGTTGCTGATTGTTGCCCAACAATAACAACAGGAAAGGCAAAAAACAGGTAGAATTCCCTCCAAAGAACAGTGTGATCCACACTCAGCCACCATATAAAATTCATCTGAATGTCTGATTTCCACTGAATCCTACTGCCACACATGTTGGTGCCTCTGCTCATTGCCTTTGGAAACCAAACAGAGTTGAGCAGACCTGCCACAAATAATACATGAAGTGGCTTCTGGATGAGGAGAAAGACGCACAAAGGTGCCATCAGTGGTCCCACCAGAGCTTGTGAACACCATGCACACTTTTGAGGGCTGCTGCTTGCTGTGCTGTACTGGGGTGGTTGCATTGACAGCACATGCAGGGCTGGCAGAAGTGAGGTAAGGGTGCAAGGGCTTTGAGCAACCTAGTCTAGTGGAAGGTGTCCTGGCCCATGGCAGAGGGCTGGAACCAGATGAGCTTTAAGGCCCCTTCCTACCCAAACTGTTCTGTGATTCTATGATTCCCTCTCTTCAGAGGCACCGTGCTGCTCCTCCACTGGGCACGGGAGCCAGGCACACCTCAGTGTGGGGGTGCATTTCCACTAACATTTCAGTCCTCCATACTGTTACCCTGAGCTTTGTGGGACACCAAAGTCTTATCTTCTGGATTTGCTGTTGCATTTCTTCTTCCTCCTGTCCATCCGCTGGTTTTAAGACGAGAAGCAGCTTCAGAAAAGCAGTTTCCTCTTTCTTGGGAGGAACAGCAAAGGCCACGCCTTCTGGTGCCAGCCCAGCATTCCTCCCCAGGCACACACCAAAGAGATGGGGTGCTAAAATTAACGCTTTAAACACCTGGCATTTGCCGGTTCTAACCAACGCTTGGGAAACCGGGTTGGCGTTCTATTTAACCAGCAGCAACCAGACAACTGCCCTCAGCAGCTCCCGCTTGAGGCGGCACCGAGCAGCAGCAACAGGAGGAGGAGAAGGCTCCTCCTCCTCTGGGTCCCACATCCCTGCCGCTGCCAGGAGCCGCCTCCTCGCTCCCTGCGGCACCGCCCCTACCCCGTGACGGTCCCGCCCCGGCGGTAACAGCGGGAGCGGTGGCCCCGCTGGGCGCGGAGGAGCCATGGGTTCCGCGGCGGAGCTGCTGCTGCCGCCGACACCGCCACAGCCGCTCGGGGAGTGCGAGCGGGAAGCGCTGGCAGCGCCCGCCCGGCACCGGAGGCGCCAGGAGGAGCAGGTGAGGGGTCCAGGAGGCCGGGCGGGCAGCGGCTGCAGGCAGCATCGGGGACGGGGGATGCCCCCGCCGTCGGGCGATGGGGAGCCGTGAACGCCTTTTGACTCACCCATAGCATTGCCGTTGAGTGGGGCTTATGCAACCGGGCTGCGTGGGGCTGTCCCCACGGGATGCTAGAGCATATCTTCCCCCCCCCTCCCCCGCCGTGTACCCGCCTGACCCTCGTTCTTCCCGCCGAGACGCATAATCCGCGTGGGAGAGGATGGAAGCAGATCCTACAGTCATAGAGGACCAGGCTGGAAGGGACATCGGGGGATCATCTGGTCCAACCTTTATAGAGAAAGCATAACCTGGGCTAGATGTCCCAGTACCATGTCCAGCCGAATCTCGGAAGTGTGCAGTGTTGGGGAATGCACTGCTTCCCTGGAGAGATTATTCCAATGGTTGGTTGTTTTTACTGTGAAAAAATTTCCTCTTGGGGACAACTGGGTTCTCCAGGGCTAAAACTTGTGCCCATTACCCCTTATCTTTTCCATGTGACTCCTTGTAAAAGGGAGTGTCCGTCTTCTTTGTAGCCGCCCTTTAAATACTGGAACATGATGATAAGGTCTCCCCTGTGCCTTCTTTTCTCCAGATGTACAAGGGTGGTCCCTGCACAGCAGTCACGTGGGAATACCTCGCTGGCAATCTTTAGGGTGCTGTTGCCACCCTCTGATAGTTCAGCTCTCAGTCTTTCTTTTAAAGTCTTAAATATATCAAGCGTTCAATTGTTTTCTTGCTTCTGGAATTTAATGTTGTCATTGGAGAAACATATCCATGCATTCTTTGATTTGTCTGCATTCTTCAGGGTATGCATTCTTGTGGCATGGTGGATGCAAGTGGCCTTTTGCTTAGGAAATGAAAAAAGCTGTGTACATTTCCCTATTGTTAATTGTAAATGGCTTGCCAGCCACTCTTTGTTTCTCAGACAGCATTGTCCTGGTGCTTAGCCAAAGGCAGAGTTCTTAACGCACCTTTATTGATGTTTCATATACAGAAAAACAGAGCACAGCCTTTTTCATATTCAGTACTAACATGCAAGGATCCACTGCAAATGCCATGAGCTGTTAAGAGAAATGCAGTAGCACTGATAATTGCACAGGGGCAGACAGAGCGCCTAGAGTACATCCCAAAGTATTTCCAGACAGTTTTGTTCAGTTTCAAATCATTTCTGTTGAAAATTCTCATAAGATGGTCGTGACTGCACTCAACCATAAGTCAGCCCTTCCACAGATAGAATAGTTTCATATTTGAAAGCATCTGGTAGTACCTGCCAGATTTTACAGCCAGAAGTGGGCCACTGCTGGAAGACATTGGTACTTGAGAATTCACTTGTTAACCACTTACATAAGTAAGTGCATCTTCCTTGTCCCTTTCTGTAGAAAAATAGGGCAGAGCAGGGCATGTACCTCACGTACCTGAATGCCACATAAGGCAGGATGCGCTGAGAGGTGCAGCAGTTCCCCTCTCTGTGTCCACAAGTCGTCCTGTGGGATATAGCAGGAGGAGGGTCAGAAACACACTCTGGCTGCTGTCTTCCCTGAAAAGGAAGGTTTAAAAGTTGCATCAGATCACGTCAGATGTTACTGCAGCCAAACTGGTTGTAACTCCACACTGAGGAGGGAGCTCCCTGCGGGTTACCACTGCCTCTCTGTTAGTGTAGGTGTGTAATTGTGATTCCAGAGGATGGTGCATGCTGAAGAACTGCTTTCCAGTGTTGCCTAAACACATCTTTAAATGAAGTTGGTAAAGCTACTGTTTGGGTGGCTGCAGGGATGCTTGGCTGAGAAGCTCTTTTCCCACTATTCTCAGGCACAGGTAGTGATTGCGGCTGGTAGTGATTGGGGTGTAATGTTAGGGTAGCAAGGCAAAAAATCTATATAGGACGTTAGGAAGAAAGAGAAGATCCTTCCTGTTTACTGGAAACATTTCACTGTCGTAGCATGGGTTTTTTGCATATTGAGGGTGCCAGCAGGAGTATCAGTTGGCTTTATTTACGATACATAATGTGAATAATTATCAAATAACAGTAAAAATAATCATAATTTGATAAATAAGAGTATTTTAGTTTTCTGTTTAGGGAGGACTAAAGCTAGGTGAGGAGTTAGCGGTACGTGCACATGCTGCAGACTTTGACAGAATGTCCCAGATTGTCTTTTCAAGAGCAGAAAGACACGCACCTTGATTTGAAGGGGCTTCTGGTTCATCAAGCCTCAGTCCCCCTGCCCTTTCTGCTCTCATGGAGGGGCTGTTGCTGAACCACGCCATTCAGAAGGCAGGAATCCTCTTTCCAGGCTGGGTCTTTACCTGGCGTCCCTCATGGAGGCCTGGCATTGCCCCTGTGTTTGCTGAGGGTGCTTACACTCTTAATGCAACCACTGGTCCTCAGCGTGTGTTTTCGTGCTTCATGTTCTCTGATGAAGTATAAATGTGTGTGCCGGCTTAGTGCTATGTGCTATGCAAAAGAAATAAATTGGTCAAAACCTGCTTTGACCATGGTGTAAATTCTTAATTCTCTCAGCTGATGTAAAGCCTGAATGACAGCAAATCCTTCGGCCATTTTTGAGAGGGCTTTTTGGTGAGGATCTGGAGCCTGTAACCTGGGTGTGATTTGTTCTCTTCCCAGTTTCCTCCAAAATAAACTGAATTTAAGATCACACCTAGTAACACAAGGCTAAAAGAAAATCTTCCTGACAAGTAGGACCTGAATAATAATATATACACCCTTCAGTGTTTGTTGTTTTTAAAGATAGTACTCTATAGGAAAGAAGTCTATTTATTTGGTGCCAAACCCTCTGGCTTTTGTCTTGTATCAAAGCTCATTATTACATCAACAAGGACAATGCTTAATGAAATTACTGACAGGTACACTTTTAAAAGAATAGAAGGATAGGTTACTGTTATATGTAACCTTAGGAATTGTTATTGCAGTGGACTGTAGAATTGTGTAATTCAGTGATTAGATTTAAAAGCTGAACTGGTTGATCCTGTGTTTAGTATCTTTTGTAGGTTTGCATGCAAAGATAATAATTATATTTACTTTAGTCTTTGAAGCATCACAGAACCTGGGTGGTTTCTTTCACTACATTGCACTGCTGTTGTTCAAAAGTGGTATGTCAATACAACAAAAGACTCAGCTGCTTCTGAAGCCATAGGAGGAGGTTGCTGCTTCACCCTGAGAGCTCACAGTTTATTCCTACCTGTTGGTAGTTATGGGTCAGATGCACAAGTTGGCCTGTATTTTCAACATCACAAGAGTTAAGGACCAAAAATCTCCTTCCGTAGCCCACTTTCTAAAATAGGTTAGCCTTTGTCATACTGCTACAGTCTAAATCTCATCAACGCCTATAAATTAAACTGTGAAATAAGAAGAGAAAGGTGACATGCAAGCAAGTGTGTAATAATAAAAGGTGAGGCCAAAGTCCTCATTACAGCAGGACATAAGGTGGTGTTAGCAAGAGACACAGCTTTGAAGCCAGGCTTTGTTACAGCAAACAGGGTTCCTGAAAGCCATGGCACTGTGGCTGTCTTCTATACTGAAAATTGTCTTTCTGGGCAGTAATGGGATTTTGTCTTTTGTAATCCAAATGGAAGGTGATGGCATAATTCCCAGTTGCTTCAGTGAGGCCAGGATCTCCACCTCATGCTAGTTTAGGACACATAGAATCTGAAGTGCTGTGTAACAGCTAAATTAAAACCAACATTTCTCCTGGAAAATGTCTAAATCACAGAATGGTTGTGTTGGAAGGGACTTTAAAGATCATCTAGTTCCAAAATTCAGAGTTAATATGCAATGCATGTATTCACAGGTAGATAAATCAGCTTAGACAATCACATTTTAACCTGCCTTTGTAACCTTTTGAGATGTTTTATTACTATTTTGAGCAGTGTTTTATCTCTCTAAGTGGAGTATTCTATCTAATAATAGATGGCTTCACGTTTAGAGGAGCAATTATAAAAAGTCCTTGGTGTTTCCCTTTGGGAATTATGTTGAAGAGGTATGAGTGATTCAACTAAGTTCAGGTGTTGAGATTTTTTTAATAAGTTTCCAATATCACTAGTATTTCTCCAGCATGAAAAGAATGAGCAGAAACAAAACTAGAGGATGATATCCTTGTGGTATCCTTCATGTGTTTCACTGTTCATTGGAATATAGGACAGATGTGTGCTGTGTTGCCTGGAATGGGATCATTTTGGTCATAACTCCGTAGAGGCCAAGAATGTTTTAAAGTAAACTTGTATGTATGGAAACTGTGGTGCCCAAGGCTAGAAACCTATTTCTAATTATTCCACGCCCAGATAATCTGAAAATTTTAGGTTTCTCCTGCTTGCAGTTGCTGGGATTTGTTTCCAAACCAAAAACAGTAATACCTGAGAGAAGGGCTTAATCCCAAATTTGTTCTGGCTCTACAAATAATTTAATTCTGCAGACATTCATAGCTACAAAATAATACGTGATAATAACTTTCTAAACAGCATTAATGGGGTTTCTGAACCTTAGAAGGATTTGAAGAAAACAAACGGAAGACCCAAAGGCAAACCCTTCAGATATACCTGTAGCACCTGCAGTAGGCAGGATAGCATGCTCTGCTTGAATAATGTGAAGATCCCATTTTCTTAAAGAAAAAAAAAGTATTCTGGAGAGAGAAGTGAATAGAATTTTTTTCTCTTTAAAAGGCAAAATGAACTAACAGCTGATGCTTTTCAGCAAGCCAGTGCATTGATACCACACTGGATATACAGTGGATTGAAAGCCTTTTGCTGGGTCGAGCTGAGCAGTTGTAGTGGGGAACTTTGCTGAACAAAATCCTATGGAAATGAAGTATTGCAGGTGTAAGGAAAAGATGGATTAGAAATTGGGTTTGGTCTGGTCTCTATGTAAAATAGCAACATGGGTGGGAACAAGTTGCAGGGACATTAGTAGGAGCAAAAGGGACAGTCTAAACACCAGGGAGAGAAGCAGG